GTAAACCTTGCAAGAATCCCATATACATAGTTATCCTATCACTCATACTTAGTGAGAAATTCACATGACAAAAAAATATACATTTTTTCAAGCAGTTACTGAACCATGAAAATAAGGTCAAGGACAAAGGACATATCACATCCATAAGCTTTGTAACATAACCCATCTGTATACAAAGTATGAAGCATCCAAGTTTTTAAGCCTCTGAAATATGAAATAAAAAATGTGCTTCACCGAGCACAGCTGGATATGACCGCAGAGGTCCAACCCTGAACAGTGGGGACAAAAATGGACACAATATTCAAGCTTGATACAGGTCTGAATTGGGATTGTAATTAGATATTTGACACATTATAGGTTTCTGACACAGAATAAATGTAGTCAAAGAACTTGAAATGGTTATATGATTTGAATTTATATTCAATTGAAGATTTCTTGCTGTTGTGCAATACACTGTGCTGTTGCGCAATACTTAGTAAATCTGTTTTCAGACTATATACAAAGAATTAGCAAAATAAATTGTGACTCCCAATTTTTTTTGTTGAAAATTTATAATTTCTTAAATCTTGAGGAAAAAAAATTGACCCCACCCCCAAAAAAACTATTTTTTTACCCCCTCCAAAAAAAAAAATATTTGAAAATGTTATTGTCTGAAAACTAGCAAAATGCTTGTTTTGGCCCCTGATTCCTGAATGATTTGGGCAATTATCCCCAAAATGAATCCCAACCTTCTACTTGTGGTATTGAATCTTGTGCTACAATTTCAGAGCAATCAAAATATTTATACATGTTATACACAAGTTATTGTACTGAAACTAGAAAAATGCTTGTTTTGGGCCTGAATTCCTAAACGGTTGGGACCATCACCCCCAAAAACAATCTCAACCTTCTTTTTGTGGTATTGAACTTTTTGATTAAATTTCATAGAGATCCATACACTTAAACTAAAATTATTGTCCGGAAACCAAATGTCTTCGGACGACAACACAAATTTTTTGCGGTCGTATAAAAACACCACTGCCAGATTATAATTCCTATGTTTCGCCTGTTTACCCTCTATCTTCTTATGTACTTCTGTTGAAAGAAAAGATATAAATGAAAAGGTAGGATTTGGGGTCAAATGGCTTGAAAATCAATGGTATTTCAAGTATCTTCAATTTGCAGAAATAAATGTTTGAACATCTGCACTGCACTTTTATAAAACATTGTAGTGTTTGGTTTAAAATATTTCTTTTTCATGAGTTACACACCTATACCGTAATCGGGCTTGTATAGTTCGCACTGGTACATAGTCCGCACCCCCTTCTCCCCACGAAATTTCAGGTAAAAAAACTTTATGTAACTGTTAAAAAAGGTCTAATGAAACTCCGGTAATTTCAAATCGTGTGTGGTTGTTTGCGGCATTTTCTTGGAAAAACCTGTTTTCCATCATCAAACAGAAGCTGAAACTGCTTGTAAATGATTTTAGAACACTTCACGATTGTTAAAATAAGTTTAAAAACTTCTGTATGTTTAAACCGGATGTTTGAAAAGCACGTGTAAAAGAAGAAAACAAACGGTGAGAGTTGAAATCCGTACACAATAGATATCACTATAATACGACTTTGAAAGTAAAACAGTTCCATCCTTATGTAAAACAGTGTTTAATATATCTATTATATTAATGTTTGAAGGGTCTTAAGCTAATACAAAACATATTTGTCAGTATGAAACACTAAAACAGAACGAATAATACCCGATTACGTTTTGTAATTTACACATCGTAAGCTGGTTTACAGTTGTCTTTTTTACTTTTTTTGTACCGTTTCATTCGAATTATAGTCATTTCGTACCCTAACCATTTCGTACCCCCCATTTCAACCCTGGCAAAAACCATTTCGTACCCTGACCATTTCGTACCTCATGGAATATTTACATGTATACCATTTCGTACCTCATGGTAGATTTTTATGTATATCATTCCGTACCTCATGGATGATTTATTAGTGTTTCATTTCTTGGTACAAACTGTCTCATTGATGTACGCCATTTCGTACCTTATGGAAGATTTATATGTATACCATTTTATACCTCGTGGAAGATTTGTATGTATACCATTTGGTACCTCATGGAAGGTTTGTATGTATGCCATTTCGTACATCGCGGAGGATTTATATGTGTTTTATTTCTTGGTTAAAACAGTCTCATTGACCTTTTAATGTAAGGTGGTAGAGGTCATGAGAAATGTCTAAAATTTAGAAATAAAGCACCTATGAGATATTGTACAAATAGGAATAAAGTCAATAAACGATTTTTTTTTAAATCTGTAAAACTTTGTATTTAAGATATTTATTTAAAATATTAGCTGGCGCTTTAGTAACAGTTCACTTTTCTGCCGATAACACTGATTTGTTACTTTTGTATACATTTGTAACTAAAGACACATGCCGTACTGGCGTATTGTTTTAAAAAGGTAGCATTCTATTTAATTGGATTAAAAATGTTTATTGAATATACGTGCCATTTGAAATTGTGACGCGTGCCTTAATATTGATATATATTCAATTGATTATTGTAAAGTGTAGTTGAACCTAAATGTATATATCATATGCATGTTTTTTTTTAAATAATACTTTTAGAAAATATGCAATACACACGAAAAAAAAGATATTTACCAAACTTTTTTTGAATTTAGAAGGAAAGATAAATGCATTTCCTGACGAAAACAACGGGTAATAACTATAAAAACAGTTGCAGATAATTATTCCTTTGTTGGTTAATTAACCTCATATTTTTAGAGTTGAAAAATTAATTAAGGATAAATCCTGCAAACAAACAAAGTGTGCTGCTTAGTCAAACCAATCATCGGTCTTTATAACATTTCTACGGCTGGATGCATTTTATTTATGTTATTTAAAAAAAAATTAAAATCATCTCAAAATGTTTTATATCTTAAAAAAATTATAACTTTTACAAATATTTTGGGTACAAAATGGCAGAGGTACGAAATGGTCAAGGTACGAAATAACTTGCTCATGGAATATTTCGTACCGCACGGAAGATTTATATGAACAACTGTTAATAACTACAAAAACAGTTGCAGATAATTATTCCTTCGTTGGTTAAATAACCTCATATTTTTAGAGTTGAAAAATCAATTAAGGATAAAACGTGCAAACAAACAAAGTGTAATTAAAACTATTAAAATTTCCAAGTGCAGCTTGATAAAACCAAATTAAAATTTCTATGGCTGGATGCATTTTATTTATGTCATATTTTAAAAAAATTGAAATCATCACAAAATGTTTTATATCTTTAAAAAAAAACATATTTTATATCTTAAAAAAAGTATAACTTTTACAAATATTTTGGGTACAAAATGGCAGAGGTACAAAATGGTCAAGGTACGAAATATGATTTTTTTTAATTTATCTTGAATGGACCAGTATGCATTAAATATAAAACATTTTAAATACTAATAATTAGGCTGTATGAGGGATCTTTCCTTTTTTGAATTATAAATTTGTGTTATCCAAATCTCCAATTCCGATTTTGGTACAAAATTCAACGATTTACAAATATTATGATACGAAATGGTAAACATATATTTAGTCAATGAGGTACAAAATGGTATATGCATTTGGCTCATAGGGTACGAAATGGTTTTTATCATGGGTACGAAATGGTAAATGTTGGGTACGAAATAGTAACTTTGGGTACGAAATGGCAGAGGTACGAAACGGTCAGGGTACCAAATGACTTACTACCTTTCATTCAAGCAGATACCAGTTTATTTTAAGCAATGCATTAAAAGAAACGAGAAATTAGTAATTCAAGCGTTTAATATTTAAATTTATCAGTATTAATATGATATTGAATAAAAATAACTTATTAATATGGATTAGGTAAAATTATTAGTTTGAAAAATGATAAGAGCACCCTCTATAATATCAATAACAAACATGGCGGAACGTAAACAAACCACCTGGCGAAATTGAATTTTTCTCTTATTATACTCTATAGTCCACACCCCTGTCTGGCAGTTTCAATTTGGAGAATAAAACCGCGGACTATACAAGCCTTTTAACGGTAAACTAGGAACAATAAATTCGGTGAAATGGTGAAATTACCCAAACTCTTGACTCCTTCATGTAACAAAACTCTCACCCCAAATATATTCAAACACTGAATTTCAAAGGATGTGTAGTTTGTGTTTACCATCTATTTGCAATTGAAAATGATTTAGTAATTTAACCTTACTTAACTTTTATATGCCAAAAAAATGAAAACAACATTGTAAATTTCATATGTCCGAAGGGCTTTTCTGGATTTACCTTTATCAGGAACTCTTAAACGCCAAACATTTGAAAGCCAAGGTTGTATAAGAACCATAACAGTTCAAGAGCAGTACCTAAATAAATAGCTTTATCCATCTAAGGTCAACTTTGCCTAAAGATGTTGAAACCTTAGTTTCCTAATAATCTATAAAATTTATAAACATATACTTTAAGAAAGGTTTGTTATAAATCATGTAAGTACCTAAGTACGGACTACTGTGCTTATGTTGTTTCAGAGGGAAAGAGTTTGAAAAGTTAATTGCAGGTCATGTTCTCCAAGGAGATCAGTTTGGCAAAATATTCTGACATGTAATAGGTACAAAAAGCTTTCAGGAGGATATTCTTTATTGAAAGTCCTTGTAACAGGGAATATAGGCAAACATTTATACCTAATGGAAAAAACTTACAATGCAGCATGGACGTATGACAACTTTCTCATGAACTCATAAACTGTGAATTCGTTATCATTCCTAGGATACCACTTTTTTGTCTATTTCGCTTGCATGCAGACCTCGGCAAAACCAGGAAATCTTATATCAAAGAAAAAACATTTTTTCCTAAATCTATGAAAATTGGTACCCACAAGAATAAATGAATCCACAGTATTATTTTTGTTTAATGTACATTTCTTTTATAAGTTTCTACATAATGAACATTATTCATAGTTAAGATATTAATACATACATCTAGTTTTAGACCAACTGAAACAACATCAAATATTCTCTTTGACAGATCTGTACACATCTCAAATAATTTCTGCATAGACGGTTTAAAGTTAGGAACTTTTTCAGAAGGCCATTCCTAAAACATAAATTTTCAAAAAATTCTGTTAATATAATCAATTAAAACATAAGTGATTTAGCTAAACAGATGAAACTTTTTTTCAGAAGATATTATGTATCCCCTATATTTACATTACATATCAATTTTCATCAAAATAATCAGCTCAGCCTTTCTGATAAAAATCAATGCTATAAATTAAAATATTTTATCGATGTTTTTTTATTATTGCAAAAATTGCGGCAGGATAGGTTTTTCAAAATTAAAAAAACAAAACTGGTATTTCAAATTTAGATATCATTATTTGATTAAAGCATTACCTGAAATCACAATATTATAAATCTAACAATTTTGTCCATTGTTTGACAGTTGCAGTAACAAATGCATGCAAAAATTTCTGAATTTACAGTATCTAATTTCCCAAATAATGAAAGTACAAAACATTTGAGTGCTAACAAAACAATAACCACCCTATTTATTTGAATGTGCTTGTCCAAGGTCAAGAACCTCTTCAGCAATTGCCTCATATTATATCTTAATTTTGTCCATTTAATAAATTCGGCTTTGTTGAACTAATTTTCATACAAGATTGGTCTTAGCAAACAATTCCGTTTGCTTTATAATACCTCAGCACTTAATAATGTTAGCTTGTATCAATTTATCATGCTTCTTAAAATGACTGGGTTGGCATGGTAGCAAACATGTTTAACCCTGCCCAATTCTCTATGTGCTTGTCCCAAGTCAGGAGCCTGTGATTAAGTGGGTGTTGTTTGTTTCTGTAGATCATATATTTGTTTTTCTTTTGTTGTTAGATAAGATTAGAAAATTTATTTTGATTCGGCATAAGTCAAATATACAACACAAGCTCTAAGGAGCTTTTGACTGAATATTAAAACATATACATAACATAAGAACAGTCTTAAGATATAAACAACATGTAATACAAAGTTGAATCTCACACATAGCATGCAATAACAAGAATGTGTCCATAGTACACGGATGCCCCACTCGCACTATCATTTTTCTATGTTCAGTGGACCAAGAAATTGGGGTCAAAACTCTAATTTGGCATTAAAATTAGAAAGATCATATCATAACAAACAGGTGTACTAAGTTTCAAATTGATTGGACTTCAACTTCATCAAAAACTACCTTGACCAAAAACTTACCTGAAGTGACCAAAAACTTTAACCTGAAGTGGGACAGACGGACGAATGAACGAACAGACGGAGGAACAGACGCACAGACCAAAAAACATAATGCCCCTAGGTGGGGCATAAAAATTTAGCAGCAAATTTAAAATGAAGTAAAGCATGGTTTACCTATTTAAAAGTTTAAAATTTAGATTAAAAATATGGTAACTATTTAGATTACTATTATAAAAATCAAATAAAAAAGTTTGGAACAAATATTTTCAAAATGCATTGATTACCCAATTTCTTGAAATATGTGTCAAAAACTAAAATTGAAATATTTAAAAATTTGTGAAGAAATACATCAATACTAGTCCAAAGCAACAAAAAACAACATAAATAATAAATAATAAATAATAAACAGCTCAAGAGTTATCTGCAAGCAGAAAAGCGACATTCCAAACCGTTTCAGGACTGAATAAGACTTTTAAAATGTAAAATATAAGCTTCATTAAAATAGGGAGTCAAAAATTTTATCAATATCTTAACAAAGTACAGTACGAAACCTAGTGAAACCTGAGAAGTTTCTGTTCACATGAGAAAGTATTTTTTACCTTTCTCTTAACCATATTTAGAAATTTTCATTAACTTTATGATTCTTTCATCAAAAAAAAGATATCAACAGAGAAGAGCATTTTGAAAGTAAATCTATCATACTAATAGATGGTCCTCTGGGGTCATATTCCAAGCCTCTTTATAGTCTCCCACGGGTCTCTCTGGGTTTAATCTACAATTCAAATCATACTGTCACAATATAATAATGCATTATCACTAAATATAGGTTGATAGGTCAAATATAATAACTTAAGAAGAAGAAGGTTTATTCCTATGTAACAATAAAATTTATTATTTAAAAGAACAGAGTTCCAATATCCCCCGCGTTGCACGTATTTTATCTATCCCAGGTACAAGGGTAATAACTAAAAAAAAAAACCTCTTTTTGTTCTTTAAAACTTTTTATAAACATCTAAGAGAAATGAAAGCCTCAGAACAAATGTAATACGATTTCCGTTATAATTAATATATTCAAGGGGCATAACTCGTTTAAAACATTTGATCAGCACTTATTATTGAAAGTGACAAAGACATATTGCTGATATAAACCTATGATATAAATTTCATAAAATTCTGGCAAGAATTGCACACATGAGAGCACTAACAATGCAATTTTCCATATAATCAGTATTTCCAAGGGGCATAACTCTTTTAAAAATAATTGATCAGCACTAATTTTCGAATTTTGGCCGAGACATTCATGATATAAACCTATATTATAAATTTCATAAAAATCTGGCAAGAATTGTACAAATGAGAGCGCTAACAATGCAATTTTCCATATAATTAAGGTTTCCAAGGAGCATAACTCTTTTAAAAATAATTGAATGTAACCTACTTGCTTAAAATTTCTCTTGTTTCACTTGCTTCTAAGTCTCCTCAAGTATTCTAGGATTTATACTTGGATTTCAACTTATTTGGCTTTGAGTATTCCTGATGAATGTATATTTAGAAAAGCTCTTCTGAAGCATGAAATTCAAACATATTTTTTTATTTTCCTTTTCAGCGTTTCCTCCGATTGTTGGATGTCTTTGTTGGTATTATTGCATTTTGGGTTGCTCATGTCTTTAATATATATCTTATCTAATTCATATTGAAAAACAAACATTTATGGTACTTGCAAAAGTGAAAATACATAATCATTTGTCCCTAATTTCTTTTTATAAGATCATAACTAGTCCAGCTGTTTTTAGACATCTTCATCTTTACAACACTTTTTTATTAAAGAACTTTACTTGTTAAAACTTTTGACTATTCAAAAACTTAAACAACAGTTGTCTAGAAATAATTCTTGTAAATAAAATTAGAGTTGAAAGAGAAAGATTACAACTGGGCAACAAAAGAGCAAAAAAGAGGAAAACAGAAATGAGTGCTGGCAACTTGTCTTTGCCATCTGTGCCAAGAATCAAACCAAGGACTTAAGTATGTGCAGTAAGTAAGTAAATAAGGTATATAGTTATTTTACTTTTCAACTTCTAGTCCAACCCAACCAAAATTATAGTTATGTGATCTTGCAAACTTTTCCTTTTCTTTCACAGGCTGCAAAAAGAAGTCTTTTGATGAGCTGAATGCTTCATTTATCTGAAGAAAAAAACCATAAAAGAACATAATCATGCATGCAAGTTTCACAGAAAACATTTCAAATTTTTAGACAAGTTGAAAATAAACACATCACTTAAATGTTTTGGACAGCTAATGTACTGAACAAATAGCATTTTTGTCAGACAAACATTTTCCGAACATTCAGTTATATACAATAAAAAAATAAAAAGTGCAATACCCATGGCTGTCCAACATCAACCGAATAAAGGAAAGTTCAAAATTAAAAATCCTTAGAATATGCAAAATAGCTCCTCAATTGTCAATTATGAAAATTAATTTAAAAAAAAAGACAACCTAATATAAAAGTGGGGGATAGCATGATTTCATATCAGCTAGGTTGAGTATTTTATGCATTAAGCATTATTTGACACAGTAATCTGATGTAGATTATTGAAGTGTATTGACATGGATATTGTTTCATTTCTTTTTTAGAAGTTACAAAAAATATATGCTATATAGGAAAGATACTAGTATATAGAAAGCAAATATCATAAACATAAGAAATATAAATGATATAAACAAAGTATGTCAATGAAGAATAAAATATAGACCTGTTTTAATGACAATTACTGTGGATTCATTATTATTTTTTGGATACCAATTTTTGTGGATTTCAGGGGTACAGGTGAATCACAAATTTAAATGTTCAACCCAGTACAAACTTTCTATTGGCTTGTATGCAGACTTCTTTAAAACCCCAAAATCAAATACCCATGTTATGCAATTTTTCCTTAATGCAGGAAAAAAAGGTACCAACGAAAATTATTTAATCCACAGTATTACTTTTTGTGGGAGGCTGCTGTTTATCTCCTCCCCACTATGATGCATCATTACTTACAGTTTCCTCAGGGATGCCATGATTTTTCAGATAGCAGAATCCTATTCCCTCCAATGCTTGACACATTTCTGAGCCAAGTTTGTCCAATTCAACATGACCTTCCTTTCCCACAGCATACAGCTGGAAATCAATTACAGGAATTGTTGTCATATTGCTATCCTTCTGAAATAGTAAAAATATAATCATGACCGACTATACAGTATGAGTTTTTCTCATTGTTGAAGGTTATAAGGCTGCCTATAATTGCTTACATCCACTTCATTTGAACTCTGGTGGATTTAATAATTAGTCATTGGCAATCATACATGTACCACATCTCCTTATTTTAACATAACATCTCAAAAGAATTTGCTACAGTAATTTAATCAATTTCGGTCCAACAGTCAGGGATATAACTCTATAGGGTTATTACAGAAAATAACTTGCATGTGTTATTACAGATACTTTCATGAGTTGTCTACTCTTTATTCCTTAAATTTTCTAAATCTGTAATAACATATGTTTGTTATTTGTAAAATAAATCAAAAATATTTTAATCTATAGTGGGCTCTAGGGAACTCTTCAGACTTTGCGCAGAAACTAAATACATAGCCTTGATAACTAATGTTTTAATTAAATTAATACATTTTGGATTAACCATGGTAAATCAATGAGATGAGGCTTTTAAGGGATAAACTTAGCTGTAATAACAAGGCTTAGTTATTAAAGGAATGTAACTTATTATATGAGACACTTGGGAATTACTGGGAAGCTTGCGCAGAACCTCATTAGATGCTCTGGTCATTATTTCTTACAATAAATTAAAATACATTGTAATTAAGCATGATGTATGTCTGGTCAAATGCTTTGGAGTGATGTAGAGAAGCTGTGATAACACCCTTTAGTTATTACAGGCATATTTTTTCTGTAATAACATAGGTGTAGTATGCATAATTGGCAAACTGTGAACTGTTATATCTTTCTATAGTTAATTGAGTATACATAAAGACAATAGTAATATCAATAGAACTTGTATACATTTTAACTAAACTAATGATGTATATTGTCCCTATGAAACATGTAACATACATATGTTATCACAGTTCTTTGACTTTTTAGTCCACAATAACAAATGTATGTTATTTTTCTGTAATAACCCTATAGAGTTATATCCCTGACTGTCCAATGACATCACAAAAACATCATCAGACTGAGAAAAAAAAAATTTCTGCAAAGTTATTGGGCTAAAATTAAAAGTATGTGTGTTTACTGTCATTATATATGTAACCCTTATTTCAACTCCTTACCCAATTTTTTTTTAACGTTTTTTCATTATGCACTATAATTCAACATGACTGTCTCCACAATAGACACAATTTAGGTAAAAAAAAACAAACAAGAATATGCATCCATAGGACACCATGGACTGCTAGCAATATCAAAATTTCCATGTTCTGTGACCTGTGAAATTAGGGTAAAAACTGTGATTTGGCATATAATTTAACAAGTTCACATCATAATGAACAAGATTACTGTGAATTCATTATAATTCGTTGGATACAAATTTTCGTGGGTTTCGTGGGTACAGGTGAACCACGAATTCAAATGTTCAACGAATGACAAATTTTCTATAGGCTTTGCATGCAGAGATTGTCAAAACCACGAAATCAAATATCCACGAAAATACATGTTTTCCTCAATCCACGAAAATTGATACCCACAAAAATAAATGAATCCACAGTACTATGTTTCAAGTTGATGTGACTACAAATTTATCATGTTCATGGTAAACTTCCCTGATGACTTGACCAAAAGCTTTAACCTCGTGGTTCAGCATTGATTTAAAAAAAAAATAACTAATAGAAAATGTTGAAAGCAAACGATATGCACCTACGAAGTCTTATAATATTATAGTACTAATGTAACATGATGTAATATCATGCACTTATGGATTAGGAATAGCCTAAAATATTCAACTATATATATTTATACTCAAACAAAAAACTAGAATAATATACATTCATTTCCATAGCCTAAGAGAGATATGAAGATTTGTTCACATTTTTGTTGGGCATCAGAAGAAAAATTGAATTTTCTCATTGTTTCCAGGATGAACAAATCTTCATATATCCAGAAGAAAAGTAAAACAAATATAATCTGTATGTATCTATATTTATTTACCAACAATTTTTAATTGATTCAACTCATAGAATTTCACATTTTATCTGAATATCACATACGAAAATTGTACAGAACCTGAAAACATAAATGTCAGGGAAATTATAATATAACTATCTACAGTTATCATACCTGGTAGTGATATGTAAATGGTTCTTGATCAAAAATTAAATTTTACAGCTCTTAGAGCAAACTGTGCTTGTACAATTAGTACATGTATGTATATATGCATCAGACTAAGCATGGTCATGTGTTGTATGTCAAGGGTGTATTTAAATATGACATATGTATGAATAAATGTATAATACAATGAGGCCAAAATAATTATACTTGTTTCCTGTCTCCAGACATTATAAAATAAGACAGGTAGGTAGGTAGAATTATTTAAAAAGAAAAGTCAAGGAGGTAGGGCATGTAGGCATGGTGGAGGGTCGTAATGGGGTACCTTCGTGACGAATAACGGTAAAAATTATTGCCAAATGACGTTAACGGTAATTTTTGGTGCATGAGGATAAAATGTACACTTTCTTTTAGACGATAAAAAAATGACTGATTTTGAAGAATCACGCTAAATTTTTTTCCAAAAATAACGGTAACGATAATTATTTGAGACATCTGACGAATCATGATATGGATATTTTGACAAATCACGGTAAAATTTTAACCAATTTGATGCTAATGGTTGCAGAAAAAGTCCGTTTGACGCCTGACATTAAAGGGCATTCCTACCCTCATGGTAGGGTGACATGAAACAGAAATATATTTTTTTGTCCTGATAAACATGCTGAAATGATAAATGAATGAACAAAATATAGAACATACAAATTAATTGTTTATCAACAAGATACAACTGAATGGATGCCATAGAAAGATTCAAGAGCATATACATAAAAAAATTCTGTAGAATTTTATTACATAAAAACTGATGCAGTACGGCTGCAACAAAGCAACTCAAACAACTAACTCCTTTTCAGAAAACACCCTATATGTTTTCAAAAATAAAGCATCCCAGAACCTCCATAATGACACATTTTGATGCCTCCACCTTTAATCCTATTGTGACTCCTCCACCCTTGAGTGTCAAACAATGACTGTTTCTAACGCCTGCTGTTTTATTTGTTTTAAAAACTTATATTCTTTTTAGTGCTAACTTATTTAATTTTATATTGATTTGTGTCTTTGTGTAATTTTTACCTCATATAGATCCATATAATCACAATTACTATTATAACTTAGTTTACCACTTGTCTCTTTTGAAATGAAAATGAAAGTAGATTCCCGGGGAATCTCGTTTTGAAAATTCTTAATATAGTGAACCGGAAGCACATGCTGGAAAATGGTAAACATGTCCAGACACGTTTATAGGGAAAACTTTACTAAAAACCATAAAGTCATCATTGCAATCGAATGAAATATGCTAACCTGTTAAAGTAAACATATTTTATATTATAGGACCTTTGTAAACGGTATGAAAATTTTAAAAACATCTAGAAGATGTCTTATAATTTATATGCCGGGTAAAACATAGAGAGAAAAAATTACGATACTGTGTACGACGGTCTCTTGCCCAGACACGTTTCTCCTTATCTGATAATGACAGGACTTTAAATTAAACATGATGCCATCTGTTGTCACTTGTACCATATGTTTAACTATAAATATTATACAAACCCCATTTCACCAAATCAATGTTCCCTTGAACAGCAGTTGCAGATTTTTTCATGTTTTTGTGATTTATTTAATTAATATATGTAGTTATCAAAAAAAAAAAAAAATTAATTGGATTTGTGTACCAAAAGAAATGAAAATGACAGGTAAAGTTGCTCTTTATGGAAATTTTTAATTTTCTGTATATTTTTTTTTTAGGAAAAAATAAGTAATTGAACTTTGAAAGTTAGACATTTTGTATACTTCTTTAACAATATTTTTTTTTCTGTGAGTAATATGAGAACAGAAAGGTAAAGAATAGTTAGCTATGCACACACCCTTACTCTACAAATTGTGCAGATATTGATCAAGGTTTCTGTAAAACATTATTGAACTTGTTTAAGTTTGTAGCTTTTATTCAAAATTACAAATGTATGAAACATGTGAAAATGATATAAACATTTTGAAAAAAAAGGTGATTTTTATAAATAAACATCAACATCCTTGAATTTCTAGGGAAGGGCCTTTGACCCTTCAGGGATTAGCCAAATTTAATTAAATTGATGGACCTGCAGACGACCCTTTGACCAGTTGACCTGCATAGTAATTTATTTTACAGGTATTACATGGAAAATGTCAATGACAGACCAAACAGATCATGACAAGGTAAAAATAAAACAGGTTACACACATGATTAATTTGATCAATTTTTTTTTTACTTTGTTTTCTTGTAGAGTTACCTTCCCTATTTATAGTGATGATGAAATCCTTACAGTTTAAGTACATATAAACAAAATCAAATGCATTGGAGTACGCATGCTATTATATTTAATAATTGCGCCATAATCAGTTTTGCATTAAGTCTCATGTGAATAAGAAGTATTAAGAGTGTAGAGAAATTTCAGAGTGCCATGGAAGTTTACATTGGAAGTCAATTTCTTATTGAGGTAAGAAAAATGCAGAGAGTAATTATTTTGACTCTGGCATATTTTTTATTCATTTCCAAGCTGAGAGGATATTACATAGGATATTGCCCAACTTCCCCAAGACTGGGTGGGAATGAATATATTCTTTTGACCAACAGCAAATAACAAAATTAAATCCATGCTCTCCAAATAGGTAAATAGATAAATAGACCTACAATGTAGCAACAAGTGTTAATGGAGATTCAGTCTACAGCCCCCCACCACCATAAAAAAAACCCAAACAAATGGGCATCTTCTTATAAAACATTATCTCAATTGAAGTGTAGAAAACATTTGCATTGTATGAGTAAAAAGAAACAACATCATGAACATGTTACTGTGAATTCATTTATTTTCTGGAGTACCAATTTTCATGCATACTTGATTTGTGGTTTTAAAAAATTATGCATACAATCCTATTTTGGATTTACATGTATAAATTATCATAAATTAAATGTTGTTGAACACTTATTTCATGTATTTTGGTTGTTAACCCTTAATCATTAGTACCCAATGAATAATAATAAATCCGAAGTATATATTTTATCTGACAACCTGTCATGCCTGTATGTATGATTAATGAAAATCTTTTAAATATAGATTTTAGACCGTATTTTTCGAAAGAAAAATCGGTTATTGATTTGGGGATGTACGGCGGGTGGGCGGCTGCCAAACTGTGTCTGTTCATTAACATGAAAACGCTTTGACGAAATCATCGACTTTACAAATTTAGATATGTTGTTTCCTGTGACTAAATGAAGGTTTAGTTCAATTTTCACAATTTTAGCTGTTCTCGTTGTTGAGTTGTAGACCTTTCAGTAGCAAAAGTGATTTTGAGTTATTTCCCTTTGAACAGAAATGGTGTAATTAATAAGTAATTTCTATGTCATTTGGTCTCTTGTTTTATTTTGAGTTATTTCCTTTGAACATGTTGAACAGAAATGGTGTTAATTATAAGTCTATCAATGATTGTATCTGTTCAATTGATTTTAGTCAGGAGTTGTCAAAAATTTCTTTATAATTATTTTTTTTGAAGTTGTGTGTTTTGAAGGTAGATGTCACAGTTGTTATGTGGTATTTCCTTTTTGTTGTGTGTGTTATAATGTTTAATTTTTACTTGATCCTGTTTGGGGGTCCAGATTTGCAAATATCTTTACTTGATCTGGATCCTGTTTGGGGGTCCAGATTTGCAAATATCATTTTCATTAGATAATAATCTTTAAATGTATTCATTTATATCTTTTACTCAACAATAAAACTCCAGAACTATGTGTTGTTTTTCACTGAGGTTAAACTGCATGCATACATCCTGCATGATACCATACTGTATAGTACATGCTTCAAGTACATGTATCTACCACATTGCACACGAAAACTAGACATTTATATTCCTCATGATGTTCCTAGGACATACCGTAATTTGAATCCTGTTCTTACCAGAAATTAATCTGTTTGTATTACATTTGATTTACAAAATGATTTATCCTGGTACCTTTTTGATTATTTTTATGTTAATGGAAATTAGAAGGTTTACAATTAAATTGTTTTTTGTTTCTTTTAACTAAAAGGTCATGTAAGTGTTTAAACTACATAAAAATATTTTGAAAGCTTTGAAAACCTTTTCATAAGACATGACATAACTTTACACATGTTACATGCATATAAGGATTATTACTGAAACATGAAAAATAAAACATGACCATAATGACCGGAAAACGATTTTTATACCCGTCAAAATTTTGACGGGACGTATTATGGTATACAAATGTGCGACGTCCATCTGTCTATCTGTCCGGCGTAAACATGTCGCACCATAACTTGAGAACAACTTATCCAAATTTCATGAAACTTAACATAGTTGTTTCTTATGATGGTCAAACGATCTGTATATTTTTTGGTGAAAATAAGATTAAAACTTTTTGAGTTACGGGACTTTGTAACTAAAACAGGGGTGTGTTTTTTTCTCATGTCGCGCCGTATCTCAAAAACAATACATGATTATTGCTTAAAACTTTACACACTTCTTAGTTATATTAATCTTAAGATCTGTTTTGGTGATGATTCAAAATTTTATTTTAGAGTTATTTTGTCAAAAAAGGGGGGGTTTTCACATGTATCTCAGGTACTATTTATGATTATTGCATTAAACTTCACACACTTGTTAGTTATATTAATCTGAAGATCTGTATACTTTTTGGTGATGATTCTTTATTTTATTTTTGAGTTATTGAATTTTTATTGAGCTTTTTGGTAAAAAAAGGTATGCGCCGTATCTCAGAAACTATTTATGATTATTTTTTTATAAATTCCTGATATGAGATTGAGAAGTTATTGAACTTTATTCTTTGAAAAAGCGACGGGCGTATCATGCGTTCATGGCGCAGCTGTTTATTCATATTTTAATATAATGAAAGGGACATACAAAAAACTAGTAATAGATATCAGTGTGCAACAGGAAATGGATTTCTTTACATTGTGACTTTTAAATTTGATAAAATGGTGCTATAAATTAAATCAAATTTTATATTATATCAAAATTAATATAAAGTTTTAGCATGACTATTGAGTAATAAGGAAGACTTCCAAAATAGAAAAGGGGATAGGCTAGATGTTTATTGGACAAGATTTTTATGAAATATTAGGGTATTATGCAATTGATTATTGTGTGTAGGCTGAAGTTATATTTAGAAAAAACAGCATTTTTTTTTATCTTGATTCTTAAAACTAAGATGAAAGTTAGGAAAGCCTAACTAGAGCAATAAGTCTTTTCTTTGGCCACACATGTATTAGATGAAAGAAATATTTTTTCTTTAGATATTCAAAATTTATCTGTTATGAGTGTTATGAGGAAACAATTTGCATCTGTTAACAGAATTCATTACCGGTACTCATTAGTAAGTGGTTTTTTATTGAGAGGGTATATCAAGACTCCACATAATAAACAAAAATAGAAGGCTATCTGTTATTGCAACTATTGGTAAATGTATTGAAGTGTTGTGTTTTAACACTTTTGATGAATTAATTGACTTAACCAGTCACAACAAGTTTATAAGCAGGAATATTTTATTAGTTTTCTTAATACGGGTAAGATGATTTTCTTTCATATTTTCATAAAATTAAAGGCCATGCAAAAACTATTAATCATGGTTGGTGGAGGCAGTGTGCAACAAGAAAAAGATTTCTCTTCATGAATGAAAAAAAAATGTTTAAGTTTTTACATTGTATTTTATTAACATGCTCAGATAAATTTCAGTTCAAATATTTTCACAAATTTTATTTTATTTCAGCACAATTACACTGTTAGTGGTCAAGTAACATCCACCCAAGTAAATATGTGCAATAATCCAAATATAATTGTACAAAAGCCTCCTGATACATATAGCACACCTTCAGGATCAAATGTATCTACTTTGAAACAACTCACAGAGTCCCATTACATAACAACTGAAGAATGTGTCGTCAATTATCCTATGGTAAGTTATTAACAAGTTTTGAAGGTTTCTTTTAAAAGGTTGGAGATTTTTATGTCCTGGCTATGATAGTAAAGGTGAATTATGTTTTCTATCTGTGTGTCTGTCTCTTATTATACCCCCGCTTTAAAAAAGTGGGGGTATACTGTTTTACCTCTGTCTGTCCATCCATCAGTCCGTCTGTCCATCCGTCAGTCCGTCCTTCCGTCCCATGAATATTTTTCTTTGCATCTTTCTCAGGAACTACAATACAAGGTTTTCTGAAAGTTGGTTTCAGGGTTCATATAAGTCAGCTATACCATGTATACCCTGTGATGCGTTTTCAGATTCATCACTCAACAACTTCCTGTTTACTGAAATATTTGGGCAGGGGTATCATCAGGGAGCAGTAGCTCGCAGTTTCACTTGTTAGGTTTTGATTTAAGGTAGGGTAAAGTTTTGGTGTTATAGGGACATATATTCTTGTTTCATTTTAGTGAAAAGTATTGAAAAACTCGATCTCCACCAGGTGTGCCCCTTATTCCTTTAGATCCTGAACTGCATAGTTTTATAAAAGAAATGGATCTTAAGAGAAAAAATTACAGAAGCACCATGGTGCATTAGCCAGTTTGTAATTTGTAGTAAAATTTGTGCACCTAATAGAAGTTATCTCAAGAATATACGATATATATGCCATTTAAAACTAATTGATACTTCCCAAGCACAGCAAAAATCTTCATAGCCTCTACTCCATAAAGCATGAGAGACGAGCATGAACACTATTTTGATTTATTTACTTCTATTTAATTTTCATGAACATGTTTTTTTTTATCTTACATGACAACAATACCTATAGATAAGAGATATTGAAAGCAAATATCTCCACAATGTAATGTTTGTCTTATATCTATAGGTAAGACCCAGACGTGAATTCCTTGACATACTTAAACAAGTAGGAGCATCATGGGAAGTTTTAACAAGAAAAGAGGTAGGTACATGTATTACATTTTTACTAGCTGATCATGATCATGTGATTAAATCAGAAATAGATTTACATCAGAATATAAATGTCTAAAACAATACAAGGTCATGTTTTTTTCTCTGACTGTTAATGACGTCTGTACACTAAATCCGTTGGATGTGTACTGATAGATATTTTAGTCTTAGATACATGATTTTTTTTTTATTAGTTGTTATTGGCTTTGAACTAGCTGCCAGTAACTGCGAGTACTCTCAGATCTGTACTTAGTGTCCTTTTTGTTGTTAGGGATGAGGGATGGATAAATACCTTGCCACATCCGGTCTGTGTTTATGTTTGATGTTTTTCTGCTTTGTAAAGATCTGATGAGTTAAGCTTTTTTCAACTGATTTTTTTGCGGTCGTATATTGGTATGACGTTGGCGTCGGCGTTGTCGTTGTCATCCGAAGACACATTGGATCTCTCTGACGTTGTACCACAAGGTTCCATATCACAAAGGGAATGCTGGGATTGATTTTGGGGGTAATTGCCTCAAAATTTTAGGAATTAGGGGCCAAAAAAGGGGCAAAAAACAAGCATTTTCTAGTTTTATGACAATAATTTGTGTGTAAGTGTATGGATCTTTCTGAAATTGTACTACAAGGTTTCATATCACAAAGGGAAAGCTGGAATCGAGTTTGGGGGTAATTGCCTTAAACGTTTAGGAATAAGGGGCCAAAAATGGGCCAAAAATAAGCATTTTTCTAATTTCCAGACAATAACTTGTGTTCAAGTGTATGGATCTCTCTGAAATTGTACTGCAAGGTACCATACCACAAAGGGAAGGCTGGGATTGATTTTGGGGATAATTGCCTCAAAATTTTAGGGGCCAAAAAAGGGCAAAAAACAAGCATTTTTCTAGTTTCAGGACAATAACGTGTGTGTAAGTGTATGGATCTTTATGAAATTGTACTACAAGGTTTCATATCACAAAGGGAAAGCTGGGTTTGAGTTTGGGGGCAATTGCCCTAAACAATTAGGAATTTGGGGCCAAAAAACAAGCATTTTTACAGTTTCCAGACAATAACTTGTGTGTCAAGTGTATGGATCTTTCTGAAATTGTACTGCAAGCTACCATACCACAAAGCGAAGGCTGGGATTGAGTTTGGGGGTGATGAATCATAAGAGGGTTCAAAAAATTGGGGGGAGATTTTTTTCCTTTTTTTTTTCTTTAAAATTTTCCATTTTAAGGTTATTTTTGATTTATATATAAAAGCAAATAATAATGATAAGGTTTGATTTCATCAAAAATTGAAATATTGGGGTTCTTTGATATGCTGAATCTAACTGTGTATTTAGATTCTTAATTTTTGGTCCCGTTTTCAAATTGGTCTACATTAAGGTCCAAAGGGTCCGCATTTAAACTTAGTTTGATTTTAACAACAATTGAATTCTTGGGGTTCTTTGATATGCTGAATCTAACCGTGTATGTATTTAGATTTTGGATATTGGACCATAATAGGTGAATTAAAAAAAAATTTTTAAGTTCTTAGACCACATTCATTCTGTGTCAGAAACCTATGCTGTGTCAAATATTTAATCACAATCCAAATTCAGAGCTGTATCAAGCTTGAATGTTGTGTCCATACTTGCCCCAACTGTTCAGGGTTCGACCTCTGCGGTCGTATCAAGCTGCGCCCAGCGGAGCATTTTATTATGTCATTATCCTAGATTTAGTACAAGGTCATCACCTGACGTGACCCGGTCATCCTATCAACACAGATGTTGGTTCTGATAATTTTAGCAACATAATTAGTCCCTGGATCATTAGTATTCTATATTTAAAGCTACAATAAAATTAAATCACTTAGTCTAGTCATTAATTTGTACTACTTAAATAGGTGATTATTAAAGAAAGACAACTCTTACTTCCATCCTTTATGGACATAATGTTACTTGAATCAGTGATTTAGAAAATCACTCATTTAAGTAAGTCCCCTGACTGTCTAGTTTCAGGACAATAACTTGTGTATAAGTATTTTGATTGCTCTGATTTGATTTTGATTTTTGGTGTTTTTTAATGCGACTTTTAAGCACCGCTTTTGGGCTATTTCGTGGCGGCCAGTTTTTATTGATGGAGGAAGCCAGAGTGCCTGGAGAAAACCACCGACCTTCGATAGGAAAACTGACAATCCTAGTCAATTAAGATTGGAGTCGAGTGCACCTGCACAAGCGGGGTTCAAACTCACAACCTCAGTGTTGACTGGCTAGTGATTACAGTAGTAACTACTTACTTAGACCACTCGGCCACGGAGGCCCCTGATTGCTCTGAAATTGTACTACAAGGTTCAATACCACAAGAAGGTTGGGATTCATTTTGGGGGTAATTGCCCAAACTGTTCAGGAATTAGGGCAATTTTTGTGTCAAATATTTAATCACAATCCACATTCAGAGCTGTATCAAGCTTTAATGTTGTGTCCATACTTGCCCCAACTGTTCAGGGTTCGACCACTGCGATCATATCAAGCTGTGCCCAGCGGAGCATTTTATTTTAGTTTGTTCTTATGTTGTGTTGTTACACCACTGTCCCAGGTTGGGGGAGGGTTGAGCGCTCACAAACATGTTTAACCCCGCCACATTCTTTATGTGCCTGTCCCAAGTCAGGAGCCTGTAGTTCAGTGGTTGTCGTTGGTTCATGTCTGTCATATTTGTTTTTTCGTTTTAATGTTTTGTTTAATATAAATTAGGCCGCTAGTTTTCTCAATTGAAATGTTTCATATTTTTCATGTCAGGGCCTTTTATAGCCAAATATACGGTGTGGGTTTTTCTCATTTTTGAAGGCCGTACGGTGGCGTATAATTGCTTACATCCACTTTATTTGAACTTTGGTGGATAGATGTCTCATTGGCAATCGTACCACATATCCTTATTTCTATATTAAAAGAACAATGAGGGATATTGAGGTAAAGTACCTCAAAGTATAAATACATATCTAATCATACTAAATTAATATCTTAGAGGCTGCTTGTGAGGATATTGATTTTGTGATTACTGGATCTGTCAATGTGCGACCATCTTATTACAGTAGTCAATGGCATGTGGTGTAGGTAGTGCATGAGTGTAATAACCCTCTATATACAGTGCACCAGCTAGAAATCAAAAAGGGGCAGGGTGCCAGTGGAGGGCAGGGCACTTTTTATGAAAGGAAAAGGCACTGCTCATTTCTTTTGTCTACGTTTCTGTGTGTATCACGAGTTCACATTCTTTTTTTTTTACTGTATATGTTGTTAATAAATATTATATATATGACACTGTTGTGTATTTACTATGAAATACTCAGGAAGATATTTTGGAGTGAATCACCTAAATTCACTTATTCATTGTGATAAAATCAATGACAAGAGTTATTTCTTAGTAATATAAATCATTCACATGAATAAAGTTTATGCTACATATCTGAATAATTATTAACTATCACTATTCTCAAATTTTCCTTTGATCATTTTTGATATGACTGCAAAAATTTGCAAAATTAAATTTTTGTAGTAATATAATGTTATGACGTTGTCAGTGTCGTCGTTGTTTTCTGAAGACATTTGGTTTCAATATATATGTTACAATAACTTGAGAATATTAAAGTGTATAGATCTCTATGATTGTACCACAAGGTTCCATACCACAAAAGGAAGGTTGGGATTGATTTTTGGGGTAATTGTCCTATCTGTTTAGGAATAAGGGGCCAGAAACAAACATTTGTCTTGTTTCGGGACAATAACTTGTGTATAAGTATGGATCTCTATAAAACTGTTCAAGAATTAGGGGCCAAAAAAGGGGCAAAAAAACTAGGATTTTCTGGTTTCTTTTTTTACCAATTTCAATGTGGTTTAATTCAAAGTCTTGAATTCTTGAATATGCTGAATTTAACAGTGTATGTAGATTTTGGAATATGGGCCCAGATATTGAATTGATCCACATTGAGGTTTAAAGGGTCCAAAATTAAACTTTGTTTGATTTCATCAAACATTAAATTATTTGGGTTCTTTGATATGCCGAATCTTACCGTGCATTTAGATTTTTGATTTAGGGACTGGTTTTCAAATTGGTCCAAATTAAGGTCCATTTTAGTTTGATTTTTACAAAAATTGAATTCAAGGGGTTCTTTGATATGCTGAATCTAATTATGTACTTAGATTTGTGATTTTTGGTCCAGTTTTCAAGTTGGTCAAAATCGGTGTCCAAAATTAAACTTTATTTGATTTCAACAAAAATTGAAATGATGGGGTTTTTGATATGCTGAATCTAACCATTATTTAGAGTTTGGATTTTGGGCCCCATTAACAAATTGATCCACATTAAGGTCCAAATGGTCCAAAATTAAACCACTGTTTGATTTCATCAAAAATTGAATTCTTGGGGTTCTTTGTTATTCTGAATCTTACCATGTATTTAGATTTTTGATATTGGACCATAATAAATTTCAAATTTTTAAGTTCTTAGACCACATTCATTCTGTGTCAGAAACCTATGCTGTGTCAAATATTTAATCACAATCCAAATTCAGAGCTGTATCAAGCTTGAATGTTGTGTCCTTACTTGCCCAAACTGTTCATGGTTCGACCTCTGCGATTGTATCCAGCTTTGCCCTGCAGAGCATTTTGTTGCATATGCTGTAATAATTACAACCTGTTTATCTGTAAATTGAAGGTCTGTAGTTATCTAAAAGATTACATCGGTAGCAGACAGTTATACAATCCAAATGACCCTAGTATAGTGTTCTGTAAAAAAGATCCTCTGGGAAAAGTGTTTGGAGTTGATAAATTTACCTTTACAGAAGCAACGTAAGTGTATATCTATATATCATTGAGTTTATCATTATAGTAAATTTATGGTCACCTTTTTATTGTTTAGTTAGCTGTATATATTAGATGAAGCAACACTGACACTCATTTATTTTTTATCATTTATATATGTCTGATGAACATCCGAAGGAATAAAACATTCAATCTTTATAAAGGTGAAATTTTGTTAATCTATATTTGGGAGAAAAAGAAATAATCAAATCAAAGTGCTAGCAATTATAGGTCACTGTACGGCCTTCAACACAATGACTTTATGTCAAATATTTCATTTTGGCCTAACTGTAATATTGACAACATGTTAGGACCCCTGTCAACTTACACAAAGGATCTGAATATACACTCCCCCATCTTTATCTGAACTAGTTAATGTCTGTAAGCTTTATAATTCACACCTGTCTTGTATTTTCAGGAAATTGATAGATGCCAACTGCTACCAATTACCTGACTCTTGTATGGTTAAAAAAGAACAATTAGTTGCTAGACCAAAGAAAAGAAGTAATACTAGTACATCAAATCAAGAAAGAAGGGTAATTATTTTAGTTTGAAACAGAAATCTTGGGATCGTTTTGAAAATACTATATCTATGGCATGCCAAAATCTCTTTAAGAGATGATTTTATTTTATTTAATTGAAGTTCCTCCAGCCAAATTGACCTGATAGTTTGAAAATATGACAGGTTCTTATTAAAATATATTAGAATGTTTCCATAATCCTGAAATTATACATTGTTATTATATAAATACAGAAATTATTGAGTGCATTTATTCTCTGGGACGCTACTTCCTATTTGCAAGGTGATAGGACGTGCAGCTGGAATAGGTCACATTTTCCAGCTTAGAAATATGTGAATAGATGGGGGAAACTTGATAAGGTCAATAAAGTTCCCATTACTTGCTATATGAAAAGCCCTGTAATTTTTTAAGAGTCGAAAGTCTCGCCCTATGCAGACTATTTTGAAAGGGCTCAGCAGCTTATGCAAAAGCCTAGGAAAGGTAATGTTGCTCATAGATTGAGTTCCTCCCTTCAAAAATTCTACAGTTGTCACCACGATCTGATTGACCGCTATGGAGTGTCAGTTTCATACATGACAAAAGCTTTCCTGATCCCCTGAATTGACCCTTGGTTTTTGGTGGGGTTGCTGTATGTTCTTTTTATTTTTTGTATTATTTGTTAATTCTTCTTCTGTCATCTTTCTTGGTATTCCCAGCTGTGTTTTTATCCACAAATTGTCTTGTCTTTTGACACTTTGGTATTCCACTTTTTCCAACACACCACACAAAACCAATATATGTTACATTATTACCTAAGCAATACATGAAAAAGTATACATTTTAAAAATCTAAATTATATGAATAGGGTGTGATAACAGAACTCCAGCACCACCCCCTATCAATTAAGTATTTAAATAATGCCACTAAGCAAATATTCAACAACAAAAATTTAATAAAAAAAAAGCTGCTGTTATTTTGAAAAAAGAAAAAAAAATGTAGTATTCTGAAAAATCGTGTAACTTAATTGCTATCAAACTTTGCATAAATGAAGCATTTGGCATTTGCAACACTTTATTTAAAACAGTTGCTTCCCTTGTAATCTTGAGTTGATCGCTTCAACCATTACCAAAAATAAATGGTTGGCAGCTTTGCTAAAAATATAAAATCAACAAATACAACTATTATGTGAAAGAAAATGAAAATGTTTTGTTCCCTTGTCATGATATGAACGTTTTTGTTTATTTACAGATAGTAACTGTTTCTTGTCCAAAGTTGATTGACATTCTTGTACATAGTCCCAGTACTCAGACAATAGAACAGCAGAAAGCACAGAATAATTCCCAAGGCCAATCATCAGACACAAGTGCAAACAGAGGTAAACAAGGTTGTTTGCTGTTCTATTTTTATACGACCGCAAAAAAATTTTGTGGTCGTATATTGGTATGACGTTGGCGTCGTCGTCGTCCGGCGTCGTCGTCGTCGTCGTCCGGCATCGTCGTCCGAAGACATACTGGTTTTCGCACTCTAACTTTAGTTTAAGTGAATGGATCTTTTTGAAATTTGACCATAAGGTTAAATACCACAAAAGGAAGGTTGGGATTGATTTTGGGGGTTATGGTACCAACAGTTAAGGAATTAGGGGCCAAAAATAAGCATTTTCTTGTTTCCAGACAATAACTGTGGAACGGTGTATGGATCTCTCTGAAATTATACTACATACCACAAAGGGATGGTTAGGATTTGCTTTGGGGGGTTATGGCTCAAACCGTTTAGGAATTAGGGGCAAAAAAGGGGGAAAAAAAAGGTTGTCCTGGTTAATGGACAAATACTTTTGTACAAAACATAATTTAAAGCAGTGTAAGGGAGATAAATCAAATACATCATTGAGATTATCTCCCTTACACTGCTTTTAAATTATGTAGAAAGTAATGGTTAATGAACAATAAAGATAATTTAAAACAGTGTAAGGGAGGTAATCAAAATACAACGTTTTGGTTACTTCCCTTACACTGCTTTTAAATTATGTCTAAAGAAATGCATATCTATAAAGGAAGACCAGTAAAAATATCTACAAATGTTGCATCTTTTTTTTTTACAAAAAAATCCATATGAAAGATTTGACAGTATATTTTTTATTCTATTATAAAATAGATTAAGTTAGCACTATGGTAAATTTAAATGGGTAATTATGGTTGCCAACTCCATTGGAAATTTGAATTGAGATTATGACCATATCTTGAGGGAAAGAATTTTTTGGGGAAAAAAAGGGGGGGGGGGATAAAAAGAAATTGTGGGAGGTCAATTTTTTCTCATTTCAGATTTCAGAAATTAAAAAGAATTATTCTTCAAATATTATTTTTTTTTCAAATTTCAAATATTGAAAAATTTCAAGAAGTAATCTTTAATTGCACAGTATGGCGCATTAGATTTGTAAAATCTTTGATCAGATTTATTTATTTGTTATGCCGAATCTAACAGTGTATTTAAATTTTTAAATTTGGGTCCAGTTTTCAAATTGGTCTACATTAAGGTCCAAAGGGTCCAAAATTAAACTTTGTTTGATTTTCGCAAAAATTGAATATATGAGGTTCTTTGATATGCTGAATCTAAACATGTATTTAGATTTTTGATTTTTTGGCCCAGTTTTCAAGTTGGTCCAAATTGGGGTCCAAAATTAAACTTTGTTTGATTTCAACAAAAATTGAATATGTGGGGTTCTTTGATATGCTGAATCTAACCATGTATTTGGATTTTTTATATGTGGACCCCATTATCAAATTGGTTCATATTGAGGTCAAAAGGGTCCAAAATTAAACTTTGTTTGATTTCATCTAAAATTGAAGTATTGGGGTTCTTTGATATTCCAAATCTAACCGTGTATTTAGATTTTTAATTTTTGGTCCTGTTTTTTAAATTTGTCTACATTAAGGTCCAAAGGGTCCAAAATTAAACTTAGTTTGATTTTAACAAGAATTGAATTCTTGGGGTTCTTTGATATGCTGAATCTAAACATGTGTTTAGATTTTTGATTATGGGCCCAGTTTTCAAGTTGGTCCAAATTGGGGTCCAAAATTAAACTTTGTTTGATTTCAACAAAAATTGAATATATGAGGTTCTTTGATATGCTGAATCTAACCATGTATTTAGATTTTTGATTATGGGCCCAGTTTTCAAGTTGGTCCAAATTGGGGTCCAAAATTAAACTTTGTTTGATTTCAACAAAAATTGAATATATGAGGTTCTTTGATATGCCAAATCTAACCGTGTTTTTATACGACAGCAAAAATTGAAAATTTTTTGGTCGTATATTGGTATGACATTGGCGGCGTCGTCGTCGTCGTTGTCGTCGTCGTCGTCGTCCGAAGACACATTGGTTTTCGCACTCTTACTTTAGTTTAAGTGAATGGATCTCCATGAAATTTTACCATAAGGTTCAATACCACGAAAGGAAGGTTGGGATTGATTTTGGGGGTTATGGTACCAACAGTTAAGGAATTAGGGGCCAAAAAGGGGCCAAAAATAAGCATTTTTGTAATTCCAGACAATAACTTGTGTGTAAGTGTATGGATCTCTCTGACATTGTACCACAAGGTTCCATATCACAAAGGGAAGGCTGTAATTGATTTTGGGGGTAATTGCCTCAAAATTTTAGGAATTAGGGGCCAAAAAAGGGGCAAAAAACAAGCATTTTTCTAGTTTCATGACAATAACTTGTGTGTAAGTGTTTGGATATTTCTGAAATTGTACTACAAGGTTCCATATCACAAAGGGAAAGCTGGAATTGAGTTTGGGGGTAATTGCCTGAAACGTTTAGGAATTGGGGGCCAAAAAGGGGCCAAAAATAAGCATTTTTCTAGTTTCCAGACAATAACTTGTGTTCAAGTGTATGGATCTCTCTGAAATTGTACTGCAAGGTACCATACCACAAAGGGAAGGCTGGGATTGAGTTTGGGGGTGATGAATCATAAGGGGGTTCAAAAAATTTGGGGGGGGGGATTTTTTTTTTTTTCTTTTTTTTTCTTTTTTTCCTTTTTTTTTTCTTTTAAAATTTTCCATTTTAAGTTGGTTATTTCTGATTAATATTTAAAAGCAAATAATAATGATATGGTAGGAGTTACACACCAAACAGGATGTGTAAATTATTATATAATAAGTATTGTGCAATAGCAAGAAATTTTCAATTGCACAGTATTGCACAATTGCAAGAAATCTTCAATTGCACAGTATTGCGCAATAGCAAGAAATCTTCAATTGCACAGTATTGCGCAATAGCAAGAAATATCCAATAGCACAATATTGCGCAATAGCAAGAAATTGTCAATTGTACAGTATTGCACAATAGCAAGAAATATTCAATTGCACAGTATTGTGCAAAAGAAGATACTTCGTATAAATTGCTTATTTCTTGATCAATTTCAATGGGGTTTTATTCTTGAATTCTTGGGGTTCTTTAATATGCTGAATCTAACCGTGTATTAAGTTTTTGGATTTTGGGCCCCGTTTTTAAATTGGTCTACATTAAGGTCAAAAGGGTCCAAAATTAAACTTAGTTTGATTTTAACAAAAATTGAATTATTGGGGTTCTTTGATATGCCAAATCTAACCGTGTATTTAGATTCTTGATTATGGGCCCAGTTTTCAAGTTGGTCCAAATCGGGGTCCAAAATTAAACTTTGTTTGATTTCAACAAAAATTGAATATATGGGGTTCTTTGATATGCTGAATCTAACCATGTATTTAGATTTTTGATTTTTGGGCCCCGTTATCAACTTTGTCCACATTGAGGTCAAAAGGGTCCAAAATTAAACTTTGTTTGATTTCATCAAAAATTGAATTCTTGGGGTTCTTTGATATGCTGAATCTAACCATGTATTTAGATTTTTTATTTGTGGACCCGCTATCAAATTGGTTCATATTGAGGTCAAAAGGGTCCAAAATTAAACTTTGTTTGATTTCATCAAAAATTGAATTATTGGGGTTCTTTGATATGCCAAATCTAACCGTGTATTTAGATTTTTAATTTTGGGTCCCGTTTTTAAATTAGTCTACATTAAGGTCCAAAGGGTCCAAAATTAAACTTAGTTTGATTTTAACAAAAATTGAATTTTTGGGGTTCTTTGATATGCTGAATCTAAACATGTGTTTAGAATGTTGATTATGGGCCCAGTTTTCAAGTTGGTCCAAGTTGGGGTCCAAAATTAAACTTTGTTTGATTTCAACAAAAATTGAATATATGGGGTTCTTTGATATGCTGAATCTAAACATGTATTTAGATTTTTGATTTTTGGCCCAGTTTTCAAGTTGGTCCAAATTGGGGTCCAAAATTAAACTTTGTTTGATTTCAACAAAAATTGAATATATGGGGTTCTTTGATATGCTGAATCTTACCATGTATTTAGATTTTTTATTTGTGGGCCCGCTATCAAATTAATATTGGTTCATATTGAGGTCAAAAGGGTCCAAAATTAAACTTTGTTTGATTTCATCAAAAATTTAATTATTGGGGTTCTTTGATATGCCAAATCTAACCGTGTATTTAGATTTTTAATTTTGGGTCCCGTTTTTTAAATTGGTCTACATTAAGGTCCAAAGGGTCCAAAATTAAACTTAGTTTGATTTTAACAAAAATTGAATTTTTGGGGTTCTTTGATATGCTGAATCTAAACATGTGTTTAGATTTTTGATTATGGGACCAGTTTTCAAGTTGGTCCAAGTTGGGGTCCATAATTAAACTTTGTTTGATTTCAACAAAAATTGAATATATGGGGTTCTTTGATATGCTGAATCTAAACATGTATTTAGATTTTTGATTTTTGGCCCAGTTTTCAAGCTGGTCCAAATTGGGGTCCAAAATTAAACTTTGTTTGATTTCAACAAAAATTGAATATATGGGGTTCTTTGATATGCTGAATCTTACCATGTATTTAGATTTTTTATTTTGTAGGCCCCCTATCAAATTGGTTCATATTGTGGTCAAAAGGGTCCAAAATTAAACTTTGTTTGATTTCATCAAAAATTGAATTATTGGGGTTCTTTGATATGCCAAATCTAAACGTGTTTTTAGATTTTTAATTTTGGGTCCCGTTTTTTAAATTGGTCTACATTAAGGTCCAAAGGGTCCAAAATTAAACTTAGTTTGATTTTAACAAAAATTGAATTCTTGGGGTACTTTGATATGCTGAATCTAAACATGTGTTTAGATTTTTGATTATGGGAACAGTTTTCAAGTTTGTCCAAGTTGGGGTCCAAAATTAAACTTTGTTTGATTTCAACAAAAATTGAATATATGGGGTTCTTTGATATGCTGAATCTAACCATGTATTTTGATTTTGGACATTGGACCATAATAGGTAAATTAAAAAAATTGAAGTTCTTAGACCACATTCTTTCTGTGTCAGAAACCTATGCTGTGTCAAATATTTAATCACAATCCAAATTCAGAGCTGTATCAAGCTTGAATGTTGTGTCCATACTTGCCCCAACTGTTCAGGGTTCGACCTCTGCGGTCGTATCAAGCTGCGCTCAGCGAAGCATTTTATTTGATTTGTTGATATATAGCTAATTTACTATTATTAGACAAGCATCCAGCTAGAGGTTAAGGTCACCAGATCATATTTATTATGCAAAAGCTGTGTATATAATATATATATTGTAATGTTCACATACTTTCAAAAATTGAAAGAAATGAAGTAGTTTTATTTCAAGACATACATCAAACATGTCAAAAGCCATTCATCACATGTCAAAATCTGTTCAATATTGTATTTCTGATTCTGCATATACATGATATATTCATAACACACAAACAAAAAATATATAGTAAAAAATAATACAATCAAAACAATATTAAAAGTATCACGCACACGATTTTTTTTATTAGCTATATTTGATGTTCATAAAAATGATGAATAAAATATTTTTGATCTTTATGTTTTGTATGAGCAGTTCCTACTGCATTCACAGTGATGGCATGCATGGTATGAGAATGTTTAGGGTTTATTACTTTTTATGCCCCTGCTGCATCAGAGGGGCATTAAGTGTTACCCTTGTCTGTCCATCTGTACATCCGTTCTCTAACTTAAGTTTACCTCAACCAAATGTTATGAAACTTATACACAATGCTTATTACCACAAAACACAGATCAAGTTCTAATTTGGGTTGCAACTTTAATGTTCCTGTCCCTTTATAACACTATATGCAAGTGGGGGCATCATCTGTGTCCCATGGACACATTCACCATTTATTTATTCTATATGAATGAAAAGAGATGTAGAGTATATACCAATGAAATAGCAACCCAACGACAAAAACCAAAATTCGCCTAATCTTCAACATATGTTTTCAACTCACAACTGTCCAAGGTTAGGGGAGGGTTTAGTGCTGGCAAAGATGTTTAATCTTTAACCTTGCCATATTTTGTATATTCCTGTCCTAATATTCAGTTTTTGTCAATGGTTCTGTCAATCATGCTTGTGTTTTGTTTATTGTTTTGTATATACATCAGGCCTTTTGTTTCCTCATTTGAATTACTTTACATTTTGTCACATCTGGCTTTTTAAAGCTTACAATACAGTATGGGTTTTGCTCATTTTTGCTTACATCTACGTTATTTGATCTCTAGTGGACAGTTGTCTCATTTGCAATCATACCACATCTTATTTGTATATTGTCACTTAGATAATAATTCATTTTATCAATTTTAGCACAGAATTTGCCAGCTGCTTCTACTGGTAGGAGGAGACATAGATGGGTATCAGTAAGTATAATTCACAAATGTAAATAAAGAAAGATTAACATGATTAATGTACTGGTAATTGGGACCATAATAAAATATGTGCAGTAAAACTCGTCAAATCCAAACCCTGGTAAAAATTAAACCTATCCAATCTTGACTCCTGTATCAATAGGTGAATGTTCTTTTATTTAACTTGTGGGAATTGAACAAACATTTCTGTTTTTTAAAGAAGTCATCTATATCAAGTAGCTTGAAAATCTTTATTAAGTTATGAGCACCAATCTCTTTCACTTCAGTCCTTCTGCATTGTTCTTTGAACTGTGAACAAAGTGATTGAAAAATTTCTCTTTTTTTCCTTTTTGACTTGAACTAAACTGTACTAGAATTGAATATTTCCAAACAGCCTGTTGATGATTAAAAAAACAAATATTGCATTACATATTAAAAAGCAGTTACTTGTACACAAATTTCATTGATATTATCTTTGTTTTTTCATCCAATTTTGCTACTTAGCTTACCTCAATTGTCTACTGAACCACCCCAGTATTCTCAGTCTAGTATACATGCTTGCCACTTATAGTGGAGGTACTATCGGGTTGTAGAAGTGTTGTTAAGGCCAAACAAATAAATATGTGTGTTAAGGGATTCCTTATAAAGAAAAATAAGGGGAGGTACTGGTAGATAAAACTTCTTTATTATTTTGCTAAATACATTATTACCTTGAGTGTATTGGGAGACCGGCAATATTGTTATGATTCTCTACCATGAGTCCCAATAAAATCTTTTATGGTAGGCCTTTTCAGGCATAGAAATACAGGGTTGGTAGGGAAACCATTAATACCAGCATTTTTCATTTTGGCTGAACGTTCACATTCCCATGTTCATCCACAAAGAAATTGGAAGTGCTATGAAAATACATTGTAGCATTAAACCTCATGAAACTTATTAAAACAACAAAATATAGTTAATTAATGTATAATCAATTATAGGAAAGGGAAGATTCTGAACCAGATATAATAGCCATCGAGCTAGATGCCGACAATGATGATGATGTTATAGGTGTAGAGGTTGGAACCAACGGTGCTGATGATGTTATATCTGTAGAGGTTGATGCTGACAGAATTTCATTTGAATATGAAGTCTGTTCAGATGAGGATGATATCATATCCAGCACAGCCAGTGTTTCAGGAATCTCAGATACTGTAAGTTTTATGAAATGAACACGCATCACTTAACCTTTAAGTCATAAGTGATATTTAAGGATGATTATCAATATGTTACCCTTTTTAGCTCACCTGGCCCTAAGGGCCAAGTGAGCTTTTCTCATCACTTGGCGTCCGTCGTCCGTCGTCGTTAGCTTTTACAAAAATCTTCTCCTCTGATACCACTGGGCCAAATTTAACCAAATTTGGCCACAATCATCATTAGAGTATCTAGTTTTAAAAATGTGTTTGATGACCCCGCCAACCAACCAAGATGGCCGCCATGGCAAAAAATAGAACATAGGGGTAAAATGTAGATTTTGGCTTATATCTCTGAAACTAAAGCATTTAGAGTAAATTTGACATGGGTAAAACTGATTATCAGGTCAAGATCTATCTGCCCTGAAATTTTCAGACAAATCTGACAAATCTTCTTCTCTGAAACTACTGAGACAAATTTAACCATACTTGGCCATAATCATTATTAGGGTATCTAGTTTAAAGAATTTGTCCGATGACCCCTCCTTCCAACCATCATGGCTTACATGGTTAAAAATAGAACATAGGGGTAAAATGCAGTTTTTGGTTTATATCTCTGAAACTAAAGCATTTAGAGCAAATCTGACATGTGGCTAAAATGTTCATCAGATTTAGATTTATCTACCCTGACATTTTCAGACGACTCCAACAACCCGTTGTTGGGTTGCTACCCCTAAGTTAGTAATTTTACAGAAATTTTGCATTTTTTTGTTATTATCTTAGATATCAATATAATATCTAATATCTAATACTATTAATTATGATTTTAACCTTATTTTACATGATTTCCAAAGCATCAGTAAATTCAGGTGAGCGACACAGGCTCTAGAGCCTCTAGTTTGTTGATTTCACAGTATCCCTGTATACTAGATCTTAGGGGTCCTTGACAAGAGATCAGTAATATGTTTGTAATAGTTATCAAATGGGTTTTTAGCAGAATGGAAATAATCTGTGTTATATAGAAGCTTAGGAAATATCTATGAAAATGACCAACACAAACATACCTATCAATTTAAGAGCAGTGTTTTTTCCTGGCCAATTTAGCGTTGTGGTATTCAGTACTATCATATTTCAACACTGTAATATTGTACTCACCACAGCTTTAAAGTTTAAAAGTAATGGTTTAAAGCATTCAAAGGGACATTGAAGTACCTTTTCAGCCATCGAACAGATACAACCACATATTGTATATTTCAGTATAGAATTTAGAAAATTAAGTTTAATAAAAAAAACATTATGATATTGTGTGTTTTTAAAACACCATCAGATTCTAAAGGGATTCCAATTAGAAATTATATTGAATAAACTGTACCTTGACAAAACTGAAGTGGTGAAGAATTTATTTGTTGATTATCTCCCTTTGAATGTGTTTCATGCATAAATAGGAATGAGCATTTGAAAACATTAACTAAATCTGTTGGAAAATTCCAATGTTTGAAGTGTTGAACACTTAACAGACATGGATAAAAATCAGTATAAAGTCAGTTACCAAAGATGATTTGGGTAGGGTTTAAGCTAGGATTTTGAGGGCTTTTAATCACTTTTGCATGATAAGAAAATCAACCTTTCTTAGAGTAGTTATTGCATAGAGTTTAATACATGAACAAAAATATGAGTATTTTCTTTTTCAGTATTTCATTAGTATACATGTACAATTAAAATATAGCAATTAAGATTGAAACAAAACAGCTGTATTTCTTCAAAAGATAAATATTGTATGTTTTTGTTTTGATTTGTATACATGTCTCAAAACAGGGACTAATGAGACTAATATAATGAATCTATTGGTCAATGTTACTGTCCTTATAATTTGCTTATGGTCCGAGTATACTATAGAATAGAGAAAATGGGCAAAAAAAATGAATAAGAGAGAATAATGGGCGCGTAAATATACAGAATAGAGAGAAAATTTGTATAAAAAAGAAATACAGAAAATGATGACCCAAGCCCCCCTCCCCCAACACCCTAATTTGCACCATATCTCAAAAGACCTCCTAAACCTAGCTATAAGTCCTAAAGTCAGAAGAATATAGACAGATCAGTAGGTATTTCAATACTAGGAAAAATTATAATTGAGTTATTTTTCTTGTATTCGGGTGTGTGATCCTACTCTTCAGAGGATTATACATAGTTGAAGCACAAAAGTGAGGTCAGGCAAAGACAAGATGCTTCTGAATTTAAAATTTTTAGAGGAATTCAAGAAAAAAACGATGTGTTTGAATAAGTTCATTACGGTTTTTGTCTTTCTGTCAATTATGTTTTCATCATGAAACTCTGGTCAACATGTGGTATGAACTATTTTTTGCCACCAGTTTTGTTATTATATATCAAAAGTGAGGTCAGGCAAAGACAAAATACTGCTGAATTTTAAAATTTAAGCAGAATTCGAGAAAAAAACGATGTGTTTGAATAAGTTCATTACGATTTTTATCTTTCTGTCAATTATGTTTTCTTCATGAAACCCTGGTCAGTGTGTGATATGAACAATTGCATAAGTAATGACGAAATGCCAACTGACCGATTCTATTTGAAAGAACTAATTTTGATGATCATTAATGACTCATTGGATAAGTGGATTACCTGTAACAACAAATTATGACACCTGTTGTATCCGTTGATTAGGTTGGGGTAGTAAACTTGTCATAAACTTCTCACCAGGTAAAATTTTTCACAATTCATTTTTTTACTCTTATAAATTTAAGTGACGAAATTGATCAGAAATACTTTCGTCATTTTGAAAATCGTCTTGTAAAAAGCGAAAATGATGAGGGCTAGTAAAGTCACTGATTTGGGCTAGATTTGTATATGTATTTTGAGAAAATTTCAACAAATAAATTTTTTTGGTTTACTTTTCAGAATGTAGTGATAATATGTGGTGATAGTGATATGGAATTCTGGGGTGATTCTGATTCAAGTGATTCAGAATTATCAGATGGGGTAAGTTTATGTTATATAGTTGGGTTTTAGCTGCTAATTCAAAATAAAAAGGATTTGATTTTCAGCCTTTCACCCCAGGAAGTTTTTTTTTTAAAGATTTCCAATATTTATAGGAATCTGTTGGCCTAAATTTGATTAAAATTGTGTAATCCATGCTCTCCAAAAAACATACAGAAGATATTTGTATTTTATATTGTATATTAGCATAAATCATTACAGAAAGAAAAATATTCGTTTATTATTAAAACATTTAAAAAGTATATAAATGGTTCAGAAATGTCAACTGATTTTTTTTATGAATTATATTGAATTTATGTTATTCTGAGGTCAATGATTACACATCAAATATTATAGATTGACATGAAAGAAAGAAGGGAAGAAAAGCTGATTGCTTGAAATATGTTGACTTTTACAACTTAACATGCATAAGCCTCAGGCTAAATTTAAATTTAAAGAAACACAAATGTTTTTAAGGAAATTTGGGAAATCTGCATTCCTAAACTTTTTCAGTCAATGTGTAACTTAATAAATATCCAAAAGATTTAATGTTAAAGTTTTAAAGCATATGGTCTTGACCGCTGATGAGAAATTAATAGTGAAAGGCATATATGGGACATTAAATTAAATCGGTATTGTGTAACTTTTCATAACATAAATGGTAAATAAGGGGACATAATGTTAAACATATCATGTCAAAATTTTCTATTTACAGGATAAATGGACGTGCACAGAATGTGATACGAAAAACTCTCCTTTACATGGTCACTGTGGACATTGTAAAAAAGTGCGTCCAAACTGGCTACCAGAGACTACACGAAAGAGGCGGTTGGAAAGAATGAATTCCAAAGACCAGGCACTTTTGTCTTCTTCCGAATGCAGTGATATTTCTCATATCCCTTCAAAATTTCGTCGTTCTTCTAGAGACCGTCTTACATCGATAGAATTGGAATCTGACAAAGACTTGATAGTGGATGAAGAGGACTCAGGAATTAGCACCGTGTCTAGTCAGCAATCTAGTCAAGAAAATTTAGCTGACAATAAAGTGAAATCCTATTCTACGTTGATAGAAAATTCATCCACGTTAGGAACGTATAGAACTTTGCTAAACTTTCAATCTACAGACTCAGCAAAAAATAAAGATGAACTGTCAGTATCAGATAAAATGGATATTTCTGGCAAATTGCAAAAAGAGTCTAAGCAGCAAAAATCTGAGAAAATTTCTTACAATAAGGAATTGGGAAATTCTCAATCACAACTTGGTCAGTGCTGTATTTGTTTCAGCCGGCCTAAAACTGCCAGCATTATTCATGGCTGCACTGGACATCAAGTGTGCTGTTATAGATGTGCCAAGCGACTGAAAAGACTTGCAAAACCATGCCCTCTCTGTAGACGACCTATTCAAAAGGTCATTAAAAACTATTTTGCTTAAATATTTGTATACTGATTACAGGACATATTGTTAATTTTCTTCTTTTTTTTTTGTCATGACTGAATTATTAGCAAGTGATCAAGTTTACAAAAAATGGCAGAATACAACTTTGACTTAATTTGAATTCATTATCTGCTTCTTAGGCTTCAGTAAACTTGCCAATGAAATGATTAAAAAAAGGTTTCAAATTTTCAATATTTTAAGTCATTGGAAACAACCGTCCAGGTATTTTTAAAGTTCATTAAAGCCATAATTTTTTATAATGCAATTTTCAAACTATTTAACAAATGTATATCTAAATAAGACAATCGTCTCAAACCAATTTAATGTCAGAAGAGGCCTGTGGTTTTGAATGGCCTTTAGGGGTATGATATTAGTATGGTTATCTATGTAAGCATTGTAGTACATCATTTGTTAAAATCTCAGCATTTTGTTTTTGATAAATCAAATTATGTCATTGTTTGTATATGTAAATCAATTATTTATTTTTTTTACCATATAACTCACCTATTTATCATGTTTATGTTCACTGGTTTTTATTATTTATTTTCATGTACTGTTATCTAATTTAAGTACTAATCATATTTATTTTTGTGTCTTCACATGGCAGCTATTATTGGATCATATTTTTAGCAATCTCTATCAATTAATACATGTATGATTGAAACATTAATCTAATTCATAATTATCATATTAGTTATTGTAAATGTTTTATCTCAAATTACTGCATAGACAAATTGTTCAACACTGTAGCTTCCATTGGGTATGCATGTTTTATTAACAATTTCTATCATTTCAATTTTAATTTTATAAATACCATAAATATTTGCAGAGATATATGTACTCACATCAATTTCAAAGTTTAATGTACAATTTAACCAAAGTATTATTTATTGCATATAATACAAAAACTTCTACAAAGTAATGTTCGAATTTTATTCTTATTTTTACTGGAAAACTTATAGGGACCTTTCTTTTTTGCTGCAATTACTACCAAAGGTGCTATTAAATATAACTTGGGGAAAAGCATTTGAAGTATAAAAAATAAGATATGTTAGGTAACACTAAACACAAGTATTTTTATGCCCCCGCCATAGCATTAGGTTTTACCCTTGTCCTTCTGTACATATGTCCGTACATCCATACTTTTGAATTTGTATGCCCCGAAATTGGTTTCCGCTCTCCAACTTTAGTTTGCCTCTACCAAATGGTATGAATCTTGTTCACAATGCTTAATACCACAAAACACAGATCAAATTTGAATTTTGGTGTCGTCACTTTTTCCGCTCTAGTGTTATGCCCTTTACAAATAGAAAAAATTGCTGAATTTTTCATTTCCATTCTCTAACTTAAGTTTGCCTCGCCCAAATGTTATGAAACTTATACACAATGCTTATTACCTCAAAACTCTGATGAAGTACGAATTTGGGTAGCGTCACTTTTACTGTTCTTGAGTTATGTTCCTTTATCGTGTTATATGCAAGCGGGGGCATCATCTGTGTCCCATGGACACATACCCCATTTATTTTCTTTTAAACTAATATTTATATACATTCCCTCAAACAATAATCATTCAACACACTTCATGCCAGGGAAGTGATGTCAGCCTTTTATTGCAGTGGGAAAAAAAGGATATGGTTATGAGGCAAAAATTGACCTGAAATGCAGTTGTTTAGGAAGCTTCAAATTTCAGCACTTAATGGAAAAGGCAAAGTTTGAATGGTTCCTTTGTTTATACAATTTTCAACATTTTAAATAATATGGATTTAATTTTCCAAAATTTTTCAACTTAAATGGGTAAGCTTTCAAACAGAAGAGATTCCAACCCTGCATCATCCAATCAGGAGTCCGAGGGTTGACTGTAAAATGTGTAAACAACTAATTGGGCTAATGTAACCATAAACCCATTCAACCTTTCTGCAGTTTTGTGATCTAAGGGAGACAATTTAGGTCTCTTAATATTATATATTAAGCTCATTACAAGAGTATCGAGGATAGGGTATACCATAACAATTTAAATGACTTTTATAAACACTTTGTTTTCTTATACATGATGTTGTTTCACATAATTTTATTGAAATTACCGTATTTATAGGAATCATCATTTGTCTCCTTGAATACAGACCAAGTCAGCAAATATCCAAATCAAAGAGGAGATATCCCTTTGGTAAATTATTTTGGAGGACGATTTGTTGTTGAGCCTCAGCTCAAACAAGTTTGAGTCAGGTCCAAAACCTGTCCCAGGCCTTTTTATACGACCGCAAAAAAATTTTGCGGTCGTATATTGGTATGACGTTGGCTTTGTCGTCGTCTGAAGACACATTGGTTTTCGCACTCTTACTTTAGTTTAAGTGAATGGATCTCTATGAAATTTTAACATAAGGTTCAATACCACAAAAGGAAGGTTGGGATTGATTTTGGGGGTATTGGTACAAACAGTTAAGGAATTAGGGGCCAAAAAGGGGCCAAAAATAAGCATTTTTGTAACTTCCAGACATAACTTGTGTGTTAGTGTATGGATCTCTCTGACATTGTACCACAAGGTTCCATATCACAAAGGGAATGCTGGGATTGATTTTGGGGGTAATTGCCTCAAAATTTAATGAATAAGGGGCCAAAAAAGGGGCAAAAAACAAGCATTTTTCTAGTTTCATGACAATAACTTTTGTGTAAGTGTATGGATCTTTCTGAAATTGTACTACAAGGTTCCATATCACAAAGGGAAAGCTAGAATTGAGTTTGGGGGTATTGCCCAAAACGTTTAGGAATAAGGGGCCAAAAAGGGGCCAAAAATAAGCATTTTTCTAGTTTCCAGACAATAACCTGTGTTCAAGTGTATGGATCTCTCTGAAATTGTACTGCAAGGTACCATACCACAAAGGGAAGGCTGGATTGATTTTGGGGGTAATTGCCTCAAAATTTTAGGAATTAGGGGCCAAAAAGGGGCAAAAATCAAGCATTTTTCTAGTTTCATGACAATAACTTTTGTTTAAGTGTATGGATCTCTATGAAATTGTACTATAAGGTTCCATATCACTAAGGGAAAGCTGGGTTTGAGTTTGGGGGTAATTGCCATAAACTTTTAAGAATTTTGGGCCAAAAAGGGCCTAAAAACAAGCATTTTTCTAGTTTCCAGACAATAACTTGTGTTCAAGTGTATGGATCTCTGTGAAATTGTACTGCAAGGTACCCTACCACAAAGGGAAGGCTGGGATTGATTTTGGGGGTAATTGCCTCAAAATTTTAGGAATTAGGGGCCAAAAAGGGGAAAAAACAAGCATTTTTCTAGTTTCAGGACAATAACTTGTGTGTAAGTGTATGGATCTTTATGAAATTGTACTACAAGGTTCCTTATCACAAAGGGAAAGCTGGGTTTGAGTTTGGGGGTATTTTCCCAAAACGTTAAAGAATTTGGGGCCAAAAAGGGGCCTAAAAACAAGCATTTTTCTAGTTTCCAGACAATAACCTGTGTTCAAGTGTATGGATCTCTCTGAAATTGTACTGGAAGGTACCATACCACAAAGGGAAGGCTAGACAAAGGGAAGGCTAGGATTGAGTTCGGGGGTGATGAATCATAAGGGGGTTAAAAAAATTTGGGGGAGGGATTTTTTTTTTCCTTTTTTTCCTTTTTTTTTCTTTAAAATTTTCAATTTTAAATTGGTTATTTCTAATTTATATATAAAAGCAAATAATAATGATATGGTTTGAATAGGTAAATTAAAATTTTTGAAGTTCTTAGACCTCATTCATTCTGTGTCAGAAACCTATGCTGTGTCAAATATTTAATCACAATCCAAATTCAGTGCTGTATTAAGCTTGAATGTTGTGTCCATACTTGCCCCAACTGTTCAGGGTTCGACCTCTGCTGTCGAATCAAGCTGCGCCAAGCGGAGCATTTTATTGCTTTTTTTTTTTGCAATAGTCCTCCAGGACCTCTCTTCTTTTATACATTGAAGCTTTATACAGGACCTATGACTTTCTTAAGAAGAACCTTTCACTTAAATGAAAATCCAAACGAGCCTGGACCTTTTTTGCCTAAAAGAAAATTTGATTCATGTTGTTTCCATAATATTAAACCTAGTTCATGGTGTTAAATAGTTGAAACAAATACTTGAATGAATACAATCCTTAATGGATAAATCACTTAAAACCACATATCAGATGTCTAAGTAAATCCATGTTTTATTACTTGTCAATTATTATTTTATTGGATAAAAAAAACTTATAATGATGTTATGGTGAAAGAGAGTGATTTTGTTGGCTAGTGGGAGGTTTTACCTCCCAGTCAGCATGGTCAGGCTACTATGCTTCAAAAGGGGGTTTCTAAATTTTTGAACAAAAATATTGTGAACTCCAAACAATATTTGAGACTTAACCCGTATGATATAGGACATCAGTTATAGTGATTAAAGTTTGTTGTTTGTGATAGACTGTTATTGTTTGTTATCATTCTCAAATTAGTGCCTGTTGTCATGGATACAAGGATTATTAACACAAAAATAATATTACCAATTCCATATTGGTCTATATTTGAAATATAAATTTATTTTAGAATAATGAACCTTGTTTCTATTTTTTTTTTTTTTTAAACCTGTTAACTGTTTCATTGTATGATAGTTTAACTGGTTCATTGGACCGAAAATATGACTTGCCTTAATAATTGTTAACCTGAAATGAAAATGATTTCCACCAATTGAAAGGAAACACCTCATCATAGACAGCTGTCTACTTTTTGTAAACACATTTCCATGTGGTAAAATAACCAAGATGATTGTTAGCACAACACAGAAAGTTCTCATACTGATTTGTATTTGACAAGATTTATAAATCTAAATGACTGTATTTGATTATAAATAAACATTTAAATAAAAGTTAAATTATTTAGACAAATGGATATTGGTACTTGTGTATTTGAAATTCATATTTAGAAATTCTGATATATGCAATAATCATCTCTTATAATTGGATCTGTGGAAATGAAATAAAATATACAAAAAACTTAAGTTCGTTATATGTTTATAATGTAATTTTTGAATTTACAGTAGTTTCTGTGGGATGAAAATTCTTGTCTTTTAGTATTTTCCTGACTTTTCACTGTTGTGGGCTATACTTGCTTTTGGGTTGGTCCCTCTGGACCTACCCTATGTGAAATTCATGAAGTTTGTGACTTTTCTATTTGATACAGATTAAATTTGTGTAGATAGACATCCAGATCAAGGTCTGTGTAACAAAAAATTTAAGAAAATTCACACTTTAATAGAAAAACGAAGGATATGGAGTATCCATCCATGACACAAAATCAGTACATGCACAGCAAAAAAACACACAAACACAAAAAGTGAAGGAACAGTGCTTGTATTGCTGCTCTTCATCTCAAAGTCACTTGGAGGCCTTCAACATGGAGCAAAAAAAAACTCTCACCTCACTGCAAGTTAAAGACAGTCCCTAGCACCGGCTTCAGCGGAATTCTTTGCACAAGAATTTGGATAGACTTTGCAAGATGTAACACCACCAAGTCGGGCCCAGTCAAAAAAGAACATACTGGAAAGTAGTACATATCTAAAACAAAATAGTTCCTACGCATTGGTGTAAATATATAACTAGATAGAATATATTTTAGTATTAAGGTATCAGATGAAAGGTGAAGGACTGGTGGTCCTTGTACAAGACATATTGACTGATAATTTTGAACAATACAAAAATGTATGAATGAATTAGAAAATTGAGGCCATATATTGCTTCTTTCTCTGATATGAATATTAAGTACATGGTTTAGTGTATCAAAAATTCCGTTAACCAGTACCTCTGATGTATAAATAACTGTATATTTTATCCCCAAATTCTGGTAACTAGTACGGTCTGATGTATAAATAACCGTATATTTATCCCCCCAATTCTGGTAACTAGTACGGTCTGATGTATAAATAACCGTATATTTATCCTGCCCCCATGAAATGTTTGAAAGTGAAAAATCAAATGTGGATAGGAACAAGGGCCAAGAATAGGTTGTGTGCGTCTTATTTAAATTTTAGTATACAAACTGGCCTAAAATTGAGAGAATATATGATGTGGCACACATAAGATAAGTTATCTCAAGAATAAATACACCATAACTTTTTAAAATACAGAGGAGCATAAACATCAATTTGTGGACGAGTGAATGATTTCTGCATCTACAGTATTTGGATTGTTAATTTTCGAAGTCGTATTCTGCTGAAGAGTTACATGTAGTCAAATAGTTATGACATCTTGTAAGGCTATTTCATTTTTGTTGTGACACTGTCTATGGAAAGAATCACAGAGACATCGGTACAAGTTCAGCAAATAGAATTCAAACTGCAACAGGTCAAGCTATAGGGCACAGGATTTTAAAGAAGATAGATTTAAACAAAATGATAGGAATGTAACCAAGTCTAATTGTGGTTATTGTGGATTCGATCATAGTGAGGGGAAAAGATGTCCTGCATATGGTAAACAGTGTCGAAATTGTGAAAAATATAATCATTTTGCATCAGTATGCAGAGCGGAAAAGAAAAGACAACAGAACAGAGCTGGCAACTTTAGACAAAGAGGAAGATGTGTGAAGAAAACAACGGAAGACAAAATTGAGACAGAATCGAATACAGACATATCAGATTATGATGAAGATGAAGATTATTTTGGACAAACTATCAAGCACATAAGGAAAATACGAAGAGTAAAGACCATACAAGAAATAAGAGACACTGAAGAAACAGTGACGGTAAGAATTGATGATGTAGATGTGAAGGTGGAACCTGAGAGTGGAGCAGATGTGAATGTGATGGATGAAAATCAATTTGATAAATTTCAGAAAAGAACATACGGATATCCAGTTTTAGAAAAGAGTAAAATCAAATTGAGTACATTGCAAAATTCATTACCAATAAAGGGAGAATTTAAGACTATAATAAGAAATAAAACATGTGACACAGAAACAAAATTTATTGTTGTGAAAGGAAAAATCAATTCTCCGCCCTTACTAAGTAAATCTACTCTGATTGAGCTAGGGATGTTACAGATTAGATCTGATGGTTCTTTTGTAAAGACAAACCAGTTGAGAATACCAGACAATGGACCACCTTTCCCCACCTTTCAACTCTGAGAAACTTGCTATTGAAAAGGGATTCAAGTTAAACACTACCAAGTCACACCAGGACGCCAAATAGCAAATGAAGAAGTTAACGTATTTAGGAAACCCATCAACAAAACAGAGCAAATAACAAAGTTAAAAAAGAAAAACACTAAAACAGCTAAACAGGATATGCATAGAAGATATCATCCAAACTTATATGAGAAGATAAATGAAAGAGACAGACAATGCAAGGAGAAAATTAAAGAGTATGCTGAAAACAGAAGCAAGAAATTGAAAAAATGGGCCCCCGCAAGACATGCGCGGGAGGGGGCAGAGGACATACACAAAGGTAATGCCCCCCCCCCCCCCCCCCGCAAGACAGGCGCGGGAGGGGGCGGAGGACAAAAGAAATGGGCCCCCGCAAGACATGCGCGGGTGGGGGCGGATAAAGAGACCTTGGAAAACCAGAGATACACATCATGACACAGAAATCAGAATAACCAACCAGAAGAACCACCTGACAGACCAAAAAGAGACAGACCCGCACCTCAACATTTAAAAGATTATGATATGTGATTGCGGGTGCCATTGGACAGCATGTGAACTTTATTAAAACATTAATTCATAAGTGAACATAACACTTTTATTACAAAAACATAAGTGAACATTTCAGAGACTGTGATAATTTAACTCATATATACAAACTTTATTTTACACATTATTAATTTACAATTATATAGTTATTTTCTAATTCAAAGTTAAGGAGGAATGTAATATCTTCGAATATTCCGGGAACGTTACGCACAAAACTGCGGGACATTAACTTATTACGTTACGTCGCTACGGTGATACCCTATATTTCGTAGTCATTATTAAAATACCATCTGAATAATCAAGTCTTGCTCCGATCTTTCATAGTCGAACTACTATATCACTAGCCAGTCATCACTGAGGTTGTGAGTTCGAATCCCGCACGTGCCAGGTGCGCTCAACTCCAATCTTAATTGACTAGGTTTTCCTACCGAAGATCGATGATTCTCTCCGGGCACTCCGGCTCCTCCACCAATAAAAACTGACCACCACGAAATAGCACAATAGTGTTGAAAGTGGTATTAGACACCAATCAATCAATCATATTAATTTGTTTATGTATTAGTTTACAATTAAACAATATCATTGTTAATTTTATGAAAATGATCATTTTTCATGTTAACTCATAGTGATGTTTTCATGATCACACACCAATGGGGAGATTAAATCACAAGTTTATAGTTCAATTCTCTATATGAAAGTCAAGATAAATTGTAATTTATAAAATAATGGAATAAGCATCATGAACACAGCTGTTAAAATATCTTTTTACGCAAAATAATAACAGTTTTTTTAGAACTACAAATCATCAAGTTTATTATACCCTTAATCTTTTAAGTGTGGGCAATTTTTCACTCATCTTGTCCATCCGTCTGAAAAATATTTCGACCATACTTTTCATAGGTACTGCCGTACAGACTGACTTCAAATTTGGTCAGCAGCATGCCTGTGAGCACTTTTCTGATCTTTCCGACACTTATTTGCCAATATTTTGAAATTGTCTTTATGTTTAATTTATTTGAAATTTTCCATCACTTTTTATAAAACTTGTACTTCTGAACAGAATGACTTTATATTTATTCTGCAGCTTGACGAGTTGAAACATTTGAGCACTTAAAGGATTTCATCATGTTTGCAAATACTTTAAATTTTTCCATATGTTGACTGACCTAAATTTTCTTCATCATACTTTTCTAAAGTTCAACTGAACAGAATTATTTCATATTTATTGAGCAACTTGATAGATTTATAAGATATGCACTCTGTCAGTCAGATACCTACCAGTATTTCCTGTTTTCCAATACTTTGAATTACTAGTGAGTGTATACTTAGCATTACAACACATGCATTCTTATCACAAAGAAATGGTCATGATATTAAGTATTTGCCCCTAGTCTACACAAGAGGATGGAAGTAAACAAGTAGTTAACAATTCACATATTCATGTGCCTGTTCCATGTCAGGAATCTTGTCAATGACAATTTTTGACTAATTAAAATTTCGAGGTTTAACCTATTCTCTAGAAAGCTATTATAGAATAGTAGAAACTCTAAACAGCAAAATGATCAGCAATATACATGTAAGATATTCACAACTGCCTATTTTACTGAAACCGTGTAATGGCTCAAAATTAGGTATTGATGTTCCTAAAACACGGTTTTGGAAAAAGTTATTGATTTTTTGAGTATTTTTCTCAAGAATATAATAAGAGAGAAACCTCGACCAGCTTGGATGACCTGCAATACAA